ATAATTTGAACTTTGAATTCGTTTGATATCTTATTAAGTACAGTACATAACAGTTACCTCATCAAATAGCCTGTCGAATTTTTGAAAGAATGCACTGATGAAAAGTCAGATTCAGAGTGCCGTATCAAGTTCGAACATGGTACAACTACACTAGCTTTCAAATTTCAAGGCGGTATCATTGTTGCCACTGATTCGCGTGCTTCAGCCGGAAGTTATATCGGTAATTAAAAAAAAAACTTAATTGAATTACTTTTGTTTTAATGATATGTGTGTAATTATTAACTTATGCGCCTTTTAATATTTACTATAGCATCACAAACCGTAAAGAAAGTCATCGAAATCAATCCATATCTTTTAGGAACTATGGCCGGTGGTGCTGCAGATTGTCAATTCTGGGAGAGGGAGCTTGGTAGACGATGTCGGTGAGTTAATATACATCAATAATATTCATGAACATTATTATATTGAAATATCATTTTTATTATTAGATTGTACGAATTAAGAAATAAAGAACGAATTTCAGTCGCAGCTGCTTCTAAATTGTTGGCTAATATGGTATATCCATACAAAGGAATGGGGCTCTCAATGGTATTTTTGATATTGTAATAGTGTTTATAATTATATGATATTTCATGATGAATAACTTATTGATTATCTAGGGAACAATGATTACTGGCTGGGATAAAACTGTATGTATGTTATATGTAATATATAATTTCAATGCAAAATTTTCTAATTTTCCAAAACTTTATAGGGTCCAAATTTGTTTTATGTTGACTCTGATGGCAGTCGTTTCAAAGGTGATACGTTTTCTGTTGGATCTGGTTCAACGTTTGCATACGGTGTGTTGGATAGCGGACTAGATTATGAATTGTCTACAAATGATGCTATTGAACTAAGTCGACGCTCGATCTATCATGCTACTTTTAGAGATGCTGCTTCCGGTGGTTATGTCAGAAGTATGTATATTATTCAAATGATTTATTTCATTATTTGTCAAAAGTTCTCATTATCTTGCTTTAATACTTTCAATTTAGTTTATCATGTTCAAGAACAAGGTTGGAAATTTATTGGCTTGTTTGATGTTGGTAATTTACATTGGGAATACCAAGGTTTATAAATAAAAGTGCAATAGAAAATGATCAAGTCATAATATTTAATAAAAATGGCCAATTTACAATGTTTAATACTAGTCAACTCTTTTTTTTTTGAAAAATATAAGTTTAATCAAATTTAAAATATCAATATAGATGGGCAAACGATGTACACTTTCAAATCTACGAATAACATTAATTAATAATTAACACTAATTGAAAAATGATGCGTACCGTAATATCTCGAAATAACGAGCACAGGCATTATTTTGAGTTATGGCCCGAATTAAGTTTACTTCGGGCTGTAACTCAAAACAACGCCCATGCAAGTGTTTATTTTTCAGAGTAGATTATAGGTAGGGTTGTCAAATTACCGTAATTTACGTAATTTTGTGAAATTTTGCGTAAATTTTCAGTAACATGGTTTTCATGTA